ATTATGCACTGCTACGTTTTTCAGTACTACTGTTTTCACGAGGTCTTGTATTTTCTTTACTACTCACTACCCGTTTACAATCTCCGAGTCACAAACATGTCCAAGATTGTTTATAGTAGTATAGTAGGTACTGCACTATCGTGTATTTTAGTGATCCGGTCTAACCTTAACAAGTACATTAGCAGCACAGTATTTCGTGTTAGTCTTTTCCAAATAAAAAAGTGTTACAGTGAAAGCTTTATGCATATACCACATCATCATAATGTTGTACCGTTATACGTCACACAGGACTAACAGTTTATTAATCCATTTCGTTGTGCCTTTGTGCAATCATTGTGTGGTCATGGATGAAATCCACTTCAGAACATGTGGCCTCTTTCATCAACGCTCGTCTTAGAAATTTTCTTGGACGTCCTCGTTTCGTCATTACATTTGTTTCCTCATTTCTGATACTCGTGCACACCAGACCTGCCTTCACCAGTCCTCCCCCTCAGTAATCATCTCTGAGCACCGGAGTTCAGTAGCACAGGAGTTATGATTCCCTTGCACACAACTCCTGCCCTCGCCACCCCCTCAGTAATCTTCCATCAGAACTAGAGTTAAATTGCAGGGAAGTGTTGATAATCGTACACACCGACCTGCCTTCATCTCTGAGCACTCTGAGCACCGGAGTTCAGTAGCCCAGGAGTTATGATTCCCTTGCACACAAGCCCTGCCATCGCCACCCTCTCAACAATCTTCCATCAGCACTAGAGTTCAATGACAGGGAAGTGCTTATAATCGCGCACACCGGCGCCCCCCCCCCCCCCAAAAAAAAAACTCACCAGGTACTTGTTACATTGGTTCAAGCCACTCGTTTTGGTGCAATAAATTCTTCTTAACCAGTATACTTGACACACACACAAACCAGACCACAGTTATAGCCGATACTGCTCGCAGTAGGTTAAACGATCTTTTGTTTTCATAAGTGGATGGATGGAAAGGTGCCTGTTTAATGATCCACTGTACGCCCACCTCATGATGTACCCAATATATTGCGATTTTATTGTTGTTGTCTTATAACTGTTGATACAAGCTGTTGTCTAGATATTTCTCTTAATTTCTCAAATTTTCTTAAATTATTTAAATATAATATATATCACCTTCAAATTCTTTTTCAGAAATAACCTAGGCTTCCAGGTCGACCCAGCCTTAAATGGGTACAAGGTATAGTCTGGGAAGTAAAGGCGGCCGGGGTAATAATGACCACATCACCAGGCAAGTGCCGATTGGTCTATAAACTATGTCTAGTCCAACACGCCCGAAGGTGTGGAAAAAGGTCCTTTACTTTACTTTTAGTTTATTTACTAATATATATCACCACAGTAGTGGTATTATTTAAACAACGATATTTTGTTCAACCCATCCATATGATAACTGGGATATGTAGAGTTATCTCCTGTTTCAACACTGGATATCTGTGCCTGACAAATACAGTGGAAGTCCTCGGAAAACATGAAGTGATGGCCTTAAGAACAACCTTACAGAAATGAACATCAGTCTTAATAGTGCTCTTGACAGAGCTCATCAACGAACATTTCATCTCCCCCCGATGAGGTAAAAGATGGAAGAGAAGAAGAAGAAGTAGAAGAAGAAGAAGAAGTAGTAGTAGTAGTAGTAGTAGAAGAAGAAGAAGAAGAAGAAGAAGAAGAAGAAGAAGAAGAAGAAGAAGAAGAAGAATAATAATAAGACAAATACTTTTGGTTATTTAATGTTGCATACATTGTATTTTGTAAGTGATTGAAAGAGTATAGATGGTTATGTTCAGCATATTTCTTGTGTTCTTTTTAAATAATTGTGAAATTTATGTTGTGTAGTCTATCTGTGAGAATATTTAAAACGATCAGGGATACCATACATCTGTCCTACAAATTATTCGCACCTCACCTGCTAACCCCTGCTCTTGTGATGTTTAAAAAAAATCTTTATCGAGATTCTCTAGAACGTTTTATCCCAATCTCTAACGACATATGCTTCTTGCAATGGGCCATATGAAGAGTCATTTGGAGTTCATATTTATTGCAATATAGTAATTAGTGTTCAGTATTAGTATGTTTATGATATTCAGGACAAGTTTGTTTTTTTCTAGTGTTGTGGAGGCTACAGTTAGGTAGAGGCCTTATGTATTTATCACGTAGTCTGCCCCGGCTTGCTAGCGCAGTTGGTTAAAACCCTCTGCGCGGCGACCAGGTGACGAACTCCTTGTGGTCCGGGTTCACGCCCGGGTGTAGACAGAAAAGCAGTTTTTCTCCCAGATTTACGGTATGTATCATGAAATCAAGGCCAAAGGGATGCGATATCCATAGTGCCGAGTCGAAGGGTTTACAACTCATGGTTTCTAGATGCTTAAAATAAATCACATCGTCTGCTATAAAGAAGAATGAAAGAAAATCCCCAAACGGAAGTGAGCAGCAACAACAGAAATCTGCACAGAGCATCGATTACAGCATTAACATTTGATGAATGATAGACCGCTGCATGGGTTAGTTTGTAATTATATTGTGTTGTGTTTGCTTTACATGTATGGGTTAGAATGGGACGCCAAGCATAGTAACCGCTTTTGGTGCCTTATTTTTCTTTATATGAATGAGATAATGGAAGCATGCAATGCGGGTTACAGTAATTTGATGAATGCATGATATTTTAGTTCTATCACCTTCTAGCTGCCAATGCCTCTCTGATCTCTGACTCTGGGCAACAAAATATCGTCGGCAGGAAAAAACAAACTGAAGCTTGAACAACGAATTAGCAGTTGTTATTGAATAAACTGCACAAACTCAGCATTATCTTAACTCTAAATGTCAGTACAGAACAACTACAACAATTTACAGTTCAGTCAGTGTACCTTGCCTACCACTTCTGTTCCTTTCTGTGTTCTGTAATATTAAGTTTTAATGATATATTGACATTATATCAATATCACAATTACCACATTAACGTCCTGTTACTGTCATATAAGTTGCATTAAAAAACCATTAGGGCAAATTGAGGCTAAAAAAAATTGCAAAGTACACAAAGTGTTGAAACTGGCACTGAAAGTGGTAATTACCAGTATCTGTGCAAGTTTTATCTAAGTGTATTGTGCAAAGTAAAAGAACTCCTGTAATAGATAGCGTGTTTGCATTATTATAATAAAATACAAACACACTTCCCTAAACACATAATATAGCTCAGCCACAGTTGTCTATCAATTGTTCTTAAATACTTTTATAGTGCCTGATGGTGCATAAATGTAACGATCTGGGTTGTATTTAGGATTATGATGCAAACTGCAGTTATTTATTTTATGCCCTATGTTTTCTCATCATCACTATTTGTTCGCAGATTACCAACAGTAAGTTGTGGGATTTTGAAGACCTATGCATCTCTACATTTTTCACTGTGCCTCAATACAGTTCTATAGCAGTGTTTAAAATTGTAATCCCTAATGATGAAATCAAAAGTGCAGATATAAACTACCAGCTAATTCTGTGATTTATAGGCTTATAATATTTTTTTTGGCAAGGATAATCTTCATCAGTCTTAATTTTTTGCTGTTGAGCATCTCTTGGGTGTTGGGGGCAGTTTGCAATCCATTGCTTGTTTTGTAGCACTGGCTATTGTCATTCCATGTCAATGTTGGATGCCTTTAATGTCATCAATCCATCTTCTTCTTGGGCACTCTCTTGATTTCATGCTAGATCGCTTTAAGTGTGGTTTATGTGTTAATGGTTGTTGTGGCCTCATTCTAATGGTTGATGCAAGGTGTTCCCACAGTCTGTCAGTATCATTTCTCAGTCTGTCTGAGATGGTAAGGTTGGTGGCTTTCCTCTGGCATCTCATCTTGCATGTGTTACTTGACTGGCCTTTGATAATAACCAGGTTTAACACTGGTAGCACAGAGTTGGTATCAGTATGCTATTTATAATCTGTTTCTTGGCAGTTATGCTTGCTTTTGGATTTTGTAACAGTTGAGTCAATTAGTATATAAGGCACCAGCTTTTTGGCATCTTGTTACTATTTCCCTATTTCTTCTGCCATTCCCTGAGAACATACTCCCTATATTGTGTAACTTGTATGAGACCCGACTTCTAGAGAACTAGGAAATCTAGTTTTAGCAAGGATGCCTGTTTGCTAAAAAGAGAGCTGAATGATGTAATATAGTGGTAAATAGAAGTGAGCTGAATGGTGTAATGTAATGGTAAATTTCTTCCCGTTCTGCACCACAGAAGCATCAAATTATTTTTCTCTGGCCACAGAGATTCCAGCACTAGGTGCTACACTGGCTAAGAACTTATAGCACTTATTGGTATAGTTTTATGGTAAATTTCCCAAGGATCACTAATTCTTATTTATAGATGGGAAGCTCATGTACTATTATCACACTCTACTGGTGCCTGCTCTCCCTCTCCATGTGGGTTCTAGGGCCCTATTTTGGAGGGGGAAAATGTTGTTCACCCCCCACCCCCTTTTTTTTCCCACAATAAGAATGTTGTAAAAAGGTGACTATTTAGAGATGTTTCCTCTGAAGTCAGAATGCATTTGCCTCAGAGGTGAGAAACCAACAGTCTGCATACAGATATGCCAAACGGATGTGTATGCAAAATTATAATTCTGGAACAAGAAAAAAGTTCAGAAGGGGCCGAACAAACAGAACTTTCCGCTGAAGTTAACAGCTGGTGAACACCAAGAAGAAGAAGAGACTGGTTCCTGCACTTGGAGAGGTTATAAAGAGCTCAGTAATACACTGTGGAGTTTATTTTCGATAGCAGGCCAGAAAGGAAAGTTTTTATACCAGCCTTATCCTAAAAGATAAGTTGTCTTGGAGTTTTATGATTTTTCCCCAAAATGTGTTGATTATTTATTTCTTAGTTGATTTTTAATGATGAATATACAAACAAGGAAAAAATATTGAAATATTTTTTATGAATTTATTCCTTAGTAGGTTAGTTATTAGTGCTGAAGACATAACATACTTCAGGATGTCTATAAGTCCACTGGTAACTCAAGGCTCTCTTCAAATGAAATGGGATCCAAAGAATTTGGAAATTAGAACAAAGTCTGTAGAGAAGACTTTGGAACCTCTTGTTACACAGGTGAGTCTTTTATTATCATAGATAAGTATTATAGATGTGCTTATGTTTAATAGCAGCTAGACCAAACTGCATATGAGACTTTACAGCAGAACATCTGGGAGGAAGGTGAGAGGAAGACCAAGAAAGAAATGGATAAATGGTATTGCTGAAACCTGCAAAAAGATGAACAAATCCCTGACCCAGGCCACCTGAGAAGTGCAAGACAAATACAGAAAACTGTAACACTGGGCTACAACCTGATATCAGTGAAACGACAAAGGAAGAAGAAAACTGCATGTGAGGAAGTCATCAAGGAAGTTGACATTAACTTTTAATGGCTGAAAAACATACTGGCATGGCCAACGAAATAAAACTAAACTGTCAGTAGTCCATCCTATACTAAAGCAACTGTCACTATCCATCCATATATATATCTTCCCTTTCTTTTCACCCCTTAAGCACCAATGTCGAAGTGCGCACCGGTGTGCAAACATATGCCTTTTAAAACAACACTGCACAGTCGTACTCCTTTATTTGAGTCCATGACAGTATGGTAAACTTTTAAGTAGCATCTCAGAAGGGACACACTGATCAGTCGATCAATATGCCCAATGCGGCACTAATGTAAAAGGGTCCTTTGCTCTATTTTTTGCAACGTGCTGACGTGTCTTGGTTAAGACATTTGCCTCACTCTGAAGTTTAGGATTCAGTTTTGGACTTGTCCTTCAGTTCTCAGGTGCAGATGTTAAAGGGATCCCTGGGAACCGCCGGCAGAGCTGTGGAATTGTATTCTTTGTGTGACTCTCTGGCTAGGTGACCATTGCTCTGTAGAGAGAGACTGAGCCACATTGAATTGAATTTAGTGCAATGGAGCCGATCCAGTCATTTTTAGCAACGCCTTTTAATTAGTTTCTCACCATATCAACAGCCATCTCATTATGATAGAAGAACAGATTTGTGATTTGTTTTTCCGTAAATATTTATGTACATTTTTAAAAACATTTTCTGTAATTATTTTTAGCAGTTATTTTAGTTTCTTTAAATTTACAGTGAGCGTAAATTGCTGATAGGAACTTGCTGAAATTAATTATTATCTGTCCAGGTGACAACTCTTGTGAACCAGAATGGACCTTCAAACAAGAAAAAAGGCAGATCCAGAAAAGCGCATGTTCTTAGTGCTACAGTACAGAAAGCTACCGAAAATTTTATCATTCAGGGAAAACAGATAGCACAAGATTTTCCAGAAGTTGAGAATGATATTCTGGCAGCTGTAGAGGAAGTTAGGAAAACTGGTGAGATACAATTTTGATCAGCTTGTACCATATCTTTAAAAAAAAAAAGTTTGTTTATACACCTGCATATACCAGTCTGAATGTACTTGAAGAAAGCAGCAGTAACTTTATATTTTTGCCATCTCCACAGAGTTTGTTATGGAATGGAACTGTTATAGGTTGCAAGTATGGAGAGCTCTTTTTATTGTGTCCCATACAGCTGTTTCATTAAAACCCTCACTTCACCTCTTTGAGAAGGTTTTGCAGCAAATACTCAAGGAGGGAAAAGTCACGAGTACATGGCTAACAAAGAAGTGCACATTGGAAATGGTTTTTGGTGATGCCAGATTTCTTTAGTGTGCTCTGACTGGATGTAGAGTGTAAGAGAACACATTAATCAACGGTTTGGACTCAAGGGAAAGTGATAATAATTATTTTCTCATTGTTTGGGTCTAAAAGAATTAATTATTCTGTCCCATGAAGAAATTATTTCACACTTTGTTGACTTTAGTATTATTTATTGACATTACCCATTGCTTAAGATAAAAGTAAAAAGTAAAGATCCCTTTTCATGCCTTAGGTGCATCGGGTATATGGGAAGAGCACCCATATTTTTACAGACCAATCGGCACTAGGTAGATAATGTGGTCTGCATTACGCCAGCCGTCTTTACTTCCCCAGGACATGCATCCTGGTACCAATTTTAGGCTGGGTCGACCTGCGACTCCACATACCATGATAAACATCCACGCAGCCAGTAGAAGGTTTTGATCGTTGTACGTTGAAATTACGAGTCGGACTTGCAATGCTAAGCCACAGACGCTGCATTGCTTAAGGTAGCATGTGTTAAGGTAACAGCTATATAAGACTGTAAAAGTTTATTAAAAGCAAAAATCTTTCAAATTTAAATCAAATGGAGATATCTATGAATGCACCCAGGATGTAAATAGAAAGACAAGAAAATCTATACTTTTTCTCATTGGAGCGCATGCTTTGTTTTTTTACATTGTGATCATGTATTGTTTGTTTTTTTCCCCGTCGTCTAGGTGAGGCTATGTATGATGCCTCCCAAGAGTTTGCAGCTGATCCTTGCTCATCAGTTAAAAGAGGGGCAATGGTTCGAGCTGCACGAGCTCTACTGTCTGCTGTTACACGTCTGCTTATTCTGGCAGACATGATTGATGTGCATCTTTTATTGAAAACTTTACATTCAGTGAGTTACAACAATGTTCAGTTGTTTATACAACGTTGTTCAGAATTTTAATAATATTACTTTTGTATTTTAGCATTTTTAAATGTAAAGATAGGAGCTGGAATAGTATAGTGATATGGATAATACATACCCTTTACAGGTTTTGTGCTGTGAAGAGGAGGAACTTCATCCTTGGCTTTAATTGGTATCACCAAAGACTGTGATTCCTATGCCTCACTATAGCACACTGTTGTCTGGAAAGACAGAAAGGTGCCACAAAGTATAGTTTGCTTACCAAGATTATGGTACTTGTTCAGTCCGCAGCAATGTAATTTCTGACGATTAATCTGGGGGTGTTGAATTTCATCTCAGTATCCTATAACAGTTGACTGTCTGATGATTTCCCTCCATCTCTGTTGGTCAGATGCAGTGGACTTAGTGTTTACATGTTAGAAACCAATTCATACAGCCAAATTCTCTTTCTTTCCTGGTCTGCCTCTTCTATTCCTCTATGCAGAACCCTATGATATTCTTTTGGAGAGGCATTGTGACTCTTATTGTTTGTCCGTTTCTGGACTTTGGTTTTGATCCAGAACTTGAATTTTGCGTGCACATCTGATTTACAGACAAAGAAAAAAGAAACACCCTAGTTAGTCAGTAGATCTATTCCACACCCCATGGTGCCCTGGAGCCTCATACGGGAAGAATGACTAGTCATAAAGAAGGAAACTAGTCTGAAAGCTTTATAATTCTGGTCTAGAACAGTGTTCTTCAATCCATGGGCCGCGACCCATTGGTGAGCCGCAGTAAAGTCCAGGTAGGCCGCCAACAATTTCTGACTAATCATGCAGCAAGAAAAGTATTTTCTTCTCTGAGTTATACAGCTATCAGATTTCTTTTCTGACTTCCTGTTTGTGTGAACAGATTTTCTCAGTCATGCCAGTAATAAAAACCAGACAGAGAAATTGAATGGATGGTGTTTCGTCTATCAGAAAAGACGCCTCAGTCATGTATATCATATTTTCTAACATCTAATCAACAGAAGATGCCGCATTAGCTGAAATAATAATTTTGTTATATAGGATTTAATATTTAGGATCTATTTAAGTGACCTGGGGTCAAAATCAGAAATCATGTCTAGGATTTCCCAAACAACGTCAGTCCTTGCCAAGCAGCAATTATTATGGAGATCCAAAAATATTTCATGCAAAAACTAAGATTCAATTGCTCAGAGCACTAGCTGTTGGCGCATTTACATATGGCTTTGAAACATGGATCTTAACAGCTGAACTCAAAAGGAAGATACAAGCATTGGAAATGCGATGCTTAAAAAAATACTTGGCATTTCATACAGAGACCACATTACAAATGAAGAATTTCACCATATATTATACAGCACATTGTCAACTATAAACCTCTTTTAACTACAGAGAAAAGGAGAAAAATGCAATGCTGCTTATATTTCTTCATTTGCCTTTCTACTATCATTCTCCAGGTTTCCTTAGGTCATCCTTGTCTCTTTTTTTTTTAATTTGCCATCCATCTGAGGGCTGTCCTAGCCAATGTCACAAGGCATCCTGTGAACATGTATAAGCCATTTTTGTCTTCTTCATTTGCCAGTAACGAACATATTGTTTTCGGACCATAGGTTCTTAATTTGTGATCTTGTTTGGCTAAACAAAATCTGTTTTCAAATTTTTATTTTAAATAACCTTTTTGTGTGAAATTAAGGTTGGAGATGACCTTGATCGCATCAAGAATGCAACCAGCCAGCAGGAACTGTTGGATGGCTTCAGAGAATTTGGTCGTAGTGTGGCTGAGTTGTCAGATCGATCAGCAAAAAGACAAGCAGTATGTAGATTTTCCCTTTTTTTCTTTGTAATGAAAATAGTCAAAAATCTGCCCAGGAACATAGTAGTATTGTTTTTAAAAAAGGGCCTAGCTCTAAATATGAATTGTTAGATATTTTCACACGTTTACAGTTTAATGAGGTTAGTTGATTAGTTAATAAATCCTTTGTGAGACTGCCTTAACTTTTCAAAATGCTGTAATAGGTCATTTGAGCAATGAAAAAGACTATCATCTAGAGAGACTTATATAGAGACTTCCCTCCAAATCTAGTCCAAAGATTCCCTGTTATTTCGGAGGTCTTCGAGGTCCTATTTCCGGCCCCACACGAACACCCCAGCCCCCCACCCACATTTGCATGCACACATACACACACAGGATAGACCCACTACAGCTTAACAGGCATGTCATAAAAGTGCGACTAATTAAGGATTTGCTCAAATTGGGTATCTTGGGGCGAAAGGCACGATACTGTAACCTAGCTTTATATCACAACACAACATGTCAGCCATCCCTTTAAGGGTAAACAAGGAAAAAGAACAAGGTAAACATGAAAGGAAAATATAAGTATGATATAAGAAGATGTCTGCTGTGCTTTATCCAAAACATTTGCTGTTCAGTCTTCCTTACATTTGTGAATTCAACAGACATTTTATAGGATTTTGATACCTACTATATTCTCTTCATAACAGACATAAGAGATAAGGGTGTCAACCTCTGACCTAAGCAGACTTGATCCCTCTTACGGTTTTGATTGTTTGGAGAGAAGCCATAATAAAAATTATGGTGTGCTCTCTTCTTATCCTAGTTGAATGAACACCTGACCTTCTCAGATGAGGCTGTGCACCTTAAAAGAACCCTCAGCAGTTGGAAATCAAAAAGACACACATAAAAAACCACCACCCAAACGTAATGTCTAAGTCAGAAATGTGACCTCACAGAAAAAAATCAATGTGTTTATGTTTATTCAACAGATCAACATCATGGCACACGGGTGTAACCCATAAGTGCTTCGTTCTTCTTCTAACTCAAGCCTGAGTGTGAAGAATCTCAGCACAGTGCACAAACTCTGTTGCACTGGCGAGGATCCCTAAATACTTTGGGTAGATTTTTTAACTTTAAATTTTGCCCGGGCAGCGCCATCTGCTACTCTTTTTGATTTCCAACTGCCAAGGGATTTTTTTTTTACTACCCAGGGGAGACTACTAGAGGTCCAGGTGAAAAAATCCCAGCCTTCACTGGGGCTTGAACCCGGGTCCTCCAGCATTTGAGGTGTACACCATGCCTCGAGTCCACGCAGCCCCCGTTTTATAGACACAGATTTATATACATACTGTTCTGTGGAGGTCATGCATAGTGCTGAGATTCTCCTCTTTGTATTTATTGCCTAGTCTTTGTTCTATTTGAGTTGTAAAATGTTTTCATTGTACACTTATATGATTTCTAAACCTAAACATCTTGTTTTTATATTAGGACTTAAAGGACCCACGTAGAAAGGAGGAGCTGGCTGCGGCTAGAGCTACTTTGAAAAGGAACAGCATGATGCTTCTCACAACCTCTAAAGTAATGGAGTATTTACAGTCATGATGTGTATGATCGTTAATTAACATGATGATATTACCCCCTTTCCCTCACGTTTATTTGTAAAATATTTTCCAAGCTGCTTAGTGCAACACATCATCTGCAAACAAGACAGTTTAAAACACCCCCCCCCCCCCCCCCCCCCCCCCCCACCCTTCCTGACAATAGTATATATTTTGAGGAGTGGCTGGCCAATTGGAGAAGAACACCTGGCACTCAAACGGAGACCCAGCTTCAAATCCTTGAAAAGTTCATAGATTTTTTTCAGTCAGGGCAAAAATAAAATCCTAATCTGCACAGTTCCTGTTGACTCTACAAGCCGTGCAACCCTTAATCTTTGGGTTTAAAGATAGCCCCCCCCCCCCCTCCCCACACACATCACAAAAGTGGTAAATACAGGTAGTTTTTAAAAATAGTTTTTTTAATACAAATTTAGGGAGTTGGGTTAGGGTAGTGGCTAGACACTTACTTGCCTGCTTGCCCAAAGGTCTTAAGTTTGAATGCCTAGCAAGTCTGGAAATGCTGTTTGAAAGATAAGTGTTGAGATGGGCCGAATGTAAGACGGGCCTGCATGTACAATTTTTGACCCTTCAAAAATAAAGTTTTGTTCGTTCGGTCTAAAAAATGTGATTCTATCATGTGCAATGTGCCACTAGCATAAAAAGGGTCTTTTATTTACTTAAAAAAATGTTTTTTTAATATTTGCATGTAAAGTCCAAAAAAATAATAAAGAATAATTGAGCCATTCAAGAGATAAGGCCATGAAGCTGGGCTAAATCTAAGTAACAGTGTGACAGAGAAAATGAAAGAAAAAAAAACAATAAACCTAAATCAAGATTCCTGGCATGGGTTGCAGAGCCCCATTTTTGAGGAAAAAAGAATAGACCCACTGCACCCTAAAAGCACATCCAAAGAGGTATGCGACTAAGGAGTTTGCTAAAATCTGATGTTCTGAAAGGCGTGGATATCGCAGCCTAACTGTGAACCCCAACACAATGAGCCAAACACCCTTTAAGAGTGAATGCAGAAGAAGAATGGAAAGGAAAAGAAGAAGAAGAAAGAATAAAGGTGAGGGGAGACTCTTCTCATAGAAGAACAGTGAAGTGATGTGGAGAAAGCTGATAGAAGCTTAGACTGCCAATTTAGAATACCAGCACTGTGACCTATCATGCATGTCATAAAAGGCTATTAAGGAATGACTTATCTCATAGACTTGTAATTGCAAAAATCCAACCTGTCATTAGCAGTCTACAGATAGAAAGGCTTGGTGTAGGTTATTCTGTGCTGTTTTGGGAGATGACGAATAATAGGCAGTAGCAGGAATGTAAAAGGTAAAGTAAAGGACCCTTTTCATGCCTTTGGCACATCGGGCACAAAGTGCTACATCTATATTTTAATAGACCAGTCGGCTCTTGTTAAGTGATGTGGTCAACATCATGCCGGTCTTTACTTCCCAGGACATTACCTGATATCCATTGTAGGCTGGGTCTACCTGGGAGCCAATATCAATTTTTGAAAGAAAATTCATCTTGTCGAACCCTTGACCTTTGGGGCACAAGGTGAGTATCTAGCATCTTCGCTACAGCTGCTACCAAATAACTACATATAGCAAATTATATAGCTTTGATAGTAGATGACCCATTGAAGATTCCTATCTTAATCCATGTTATAGGCTCCTTTTTTTATTTTAAGGCATACATGAGACATCCTGAGTTGGCTGCAGCCAGAGCAAATCGAGACTATGCCTACAGACAGTTGTGTGAGGCAGTCAATGTTATCTCTGATGTGGCTCAGGCATCTGGTCAAGCTGGTGTTCATCCCTTTGAAGGACCAGGAGAACTGGCAGCTGCTTTAGATGAACTAGATGTGAGTGCAGAGAATACTTTTCTTGTATCTGTTTTTTCTTGTTTTTATGTGGATGCATGGGGACTTATTTGCTCATCTGAGGAGGTTCTGATGCTATGAGGCTATATGAGATTATATTGACCAAGATTCAGCTTTTTGAAATGTGTAATTGATAAACTGATGGGAGGAAAAAGTGTTGAGAGAGAGAGAGAGAGGGGGGGGGGGAGGGGGAGGGAGGAGAGAGAGAGAGGGAGAAAACTGGTAATTCCCAGTTCATTATGCCATAATCTTGAATATGTGAAGCCTTGATACTTTTTACTGAGATTGGTTAGACAGTTTGAATTATCAGCATTCAGCCTCTGCCTAAGGAGCTAACATCATCTTTGGTAGCTGTGGTTATAATTGTGGTTCAGGATAGTGCTGCTATTTCATTATGTGTTTCTTGGTATTGGTGGTTTTAGCCTGCCAAGTCTGTCAAGCCGGGTCTTGTCCGTCTCAAGGGGCTGTGTGTTGGGCCCTTGTCTTAGTGCTGACTGTTTAGCCTGGGGCTCTCCATGTTGACAGTTGATAGGGTCTCTGCCATTGGTTGTTTGTCTTCTGCTGCACCATGTTCATAGTGTGACTGCTGGATTTGAAAGATCTGTTTTGAACCAGTCGTATTATTTTGTATTCACTGAGATAGTTTGGGAGTCTTCTTAAAGCAAGTAGTTCTTTCTAGTCACACTTACTGCCACCATGGACTGTGTGATCTCCTTCCCTTCCTGTAGCACAGTAAAAAACTAGCTATCGTCTGGTATAAAAGCTGTGGAGATATGGTTTTATGGACGAATGATGAGAATACCCTGATTAGATAATAAGGCTAATGAAAATATTTTGAAAGAAACTAACACACGAAAAGAACTATTGCCCACATCAGAAAGAGACAATCTATATTCTTTGGTAATGTAATAAGAAGGAGAAAACTGGAGTACATTGTGAGGGGAGGAAAGTTGGAATGAAGGAGAGGCAGAGGAAGAATGAGAGAAAAGATGCTTGACAGTTTGTCATCATGACATGGAGGATCATCAGTGTTAGAGTTGATTGAAAGTACACAAGACAGAAGGTTGTGGACAGACATGACTACTAACGCCACACGGCATGGACTTTAAAAAAAAAGAAGAAGAATCATCTAGAAAGTCATAAAGTTGCTATCAATGCATATGTCATATCAACATTTCACACCCCTAAAGAATCAACTACTGTGGGTATCTGAACTGTTGTTCTTGTTTGTTTAAATTGGTTTATACTTTAAGGAATGGTTTATCCATATACTGCCACACTTAATGTCCCCAGGCATCTGTGTGGGCAATTTCATAGGGAACTATAGTGGACACAGAAGTCTGCTACAATAAGTCCAACCTGCATAAGCAGCAGAGTACTCATTTTATGTGAGTAGTCAAAATCCCTGGTCTTCAGACTGCCTCCTGGTTGGTTCTAAAGGCATAACCTGTGATGAATGAGAGGCTCAGTATACAGAAGTAAGGTTAAACATGAGCAGAATGGGATGATTCCTTATATGAGCCGAATAGCGCAGCACCATGTATTGGCTCTGCATTATGTAAGGAATCATGGATGGTGGGGCATGCTTGTGTCTGCCCCTGCCTTTTCTTACCAGAAAGGCAAATCTTGGCATCAGTTGACTACAGAAATTGGATGTGTCGGTCAGAAGGCGCAAATATTGCAGCCATGTTCTAAACGGGCACATCTTTAGATGAATGCAGAAGAAGAAGTAATTACTAGATGATACAGTTCTGTATCAGAATAGAATACTCCAGACTGAAAGTTGACTTACATAGACTAAAGTTGGTCCACTCATCCTTGTTTACAAACAGGCTTCCAGACCAGGCAGTCAAACATATCTTTCAAGACTGTCTTATGTTTTGTCAATTATGAACAGAAATAAGCATTCACACAAATCTGTTTGGAGTCTTGAGTAGGCTCTCAGATATAGCAACATACATTACAAAACTGTACTTCTGTAGACATTGCTAGAACAAAATTTGAAGAAAAAACAAAACAATGTAAATTACTTACTAATTATCAAAAGTAATTAAAAGAGTTCTTATTCTCATAATTATTGATATCAAGTTATAATATTTGTTAACCGGGAAGGCTAACCCGGTCAACTAATGCCCGCAGAAGTCGGTTGTGTTGGATGAAAGGTGTATATATCGCAGCCATGCTATAAACGGACACAACGCAATTACATCTTCGGATGAACGCAGAAGAAGAAGATAATATTTGTTGTTACAAATCTTTTCTGTTGGTTTATTTATACACTAAAATCTCGTTAGCACAAATTCTGCGGGACCGAAAATCAAGGTTTCAAGGTCTTGTTAAGCAAATTTGTGCTAACTGGAGGCCAGTAATAATAATAATAATTGCTTGGACCAAAATTGTGTTCATGTTAACTGAATGTTCTTCTTAAGCAAGTTCGTGTTAAAGAGATTTACTGTGTTGCTTACCATAGTTCACTTCTAAGTAATATGTCTATAAACACATGCTTGGATCTTTCAATGCAGCGCAAGATAATCATGGATCCTATGGCTTTCAATGAAGTCCGAAGTCGTCCTTCTCTAGAGGAGAGAGTTGAGAGCATCATTAGTGGGGCAGCACTTATGGCTGATTCCTCCTGCACACGAGATGACAGGCGGGAGCGTATCGTCCAAGAATGTAATGCGGTTCGCCAGGCTTTGCAAGATTTACTCACAGAGTACATAAACAATGTAAGCTGCTTCTTTTCCTGACATAGCAATGCACTCTTGTGTTAAAATTTGTTTATTACCAATTAATTTCAGGTAGCAATGTTCATCTTTGAACATCTTCTTCTTCATCTTTTTCTTTGTGTTCACCAGCTGTAAACTATAGCACCAGAACTTGAGTTTTGCCTGCATATCTGTTTTACACATCAGGTTTATTTGTATGCAGACCGTTAATATGTCAGGCAGATGCACTCTGACTTTAAAGGAAACCACCTTATCAGTCTATAACAAGCTTGTTAGAGGGGCAGGCCCTATCCCCCCCACCCCCCCAAAATGGGGCCCAGGAATCCTCACTAGGATCTAGGTCCACATAGGGTTCTATTTATGTCACATGGCACATTATATGCTTATTTACTATCTTCTTCCTTATTCTCTTTCTATAGTTTATTTTCCACTGTTACATTGTTCATGTGTTTATTAATAGAGAACCTGAGGAAGTTAAAATCTTCCTTGTCATGGGATAGGCATTTGAAAATGGTAAAGGGTAGGCTGCAAGTAACACTGTTCTAATACAATTTCAAAAATTTAGAAAAGCTTACTATATGAGAATATTTAAAGCATGTAAGTATTTACAAATTCTAAGCAAGGCTAGAGGTTGTAAGGGCCCTTTGGGAGTGAGTGAACAGTGCGGAGGCACAGTTAGATCATAAACAATTTATTTATCTTCCTTTTAAATGTTGTGTGTGTGTGTACATACTTGTATATTTATATATTTGTGTGTGTGTGTGTATATATATATATATATATATATATATATGTATGTATATATATATAGAGAGAAGAGGGAGATGGATGATGATGAACAGGAGTCTGTTGGTATGTAAACTTAATTAAAGGATAAAAAGTTTTGGAAGTCCTCCCTGTTTGGGTTTTAGAGCCTCTTGGGCCAACAGTCTGCATACAAATGAGTCAGATAAACGGATGTGCATGTAACACTAGGGTTTTAGAACAGGACTAAGTCCAGAAGTGGAAAAACACCCATAACTTTCTGCTAGAGTTTACAGCTGGTGAACAAGAAGAAGAAGAAAGCCTGGTTGTAACGTGCAACATAATGTGCCAACCGCCCTTTACTGTGAACAAGATAAAGGAAAAAAAAACAAAGTTTGTGGTCCATAATAGCGAACCTTTATTTGTAGAGGTGGCTCTTGATTAATTTATTAACTCTTTCGCTGCTACGTTCCCGGAAATAGTTGTCCTCCCTGTGCTAAGCAATGTGAAAAAAAAAGTCTCTGCTGTGCGCAATACTTTTCTATCCTCTAAACGCAAAAGATGCGTCCACGGTGAGGGCTATGTTTTGTACACCTAAAAAATTTTACCCTGGGGAGTTGTGTGGTTGGTCCGAGTGGTGACAAGTCAGAGGCACGATGGTGCCCCACAAACTTAACTAACGGAGCTATCACCCTTCGGTGGGGGGGGGGGGGATTAAATTAATGGGAGGAACTGTTCCCAGTACGTATCCCAAAATTTGATTGACGAACCTACCACGGCTGCCACTTTAATCATATTTACTTGTAGTCAACATGTTATTACATACCAAAATAATTTAAAAAAAATATTCATAATAATACTCAAGTCGTCCGTTGCTGAAAAGTAGCAGGAACTCAAAGGAAAATTTACAATTAAAAAAAAAAAAAAAACCTCGGGGGTTGAACACACGACCCTCCGATTCTAAGGCGAACGTGATACCAATTACACTATGCAACCGCTTGACAGATTGCGCTGTGTAAATGATCATAATGAATGATGGGCGCAATCTATCAATAATGTGTCTAAGTTTGTAGTCTATCGCCGCCTGCATGAGCACTGTTGTCTAAGAAATGTTTGAGATTCTCAACAATAGTTAAAATGTGTCCCTCGACATTATTTTACGGGAGTTTTTAGCAAACAGTCTTTGCTCAAGTACTCTATTTTGAGTTTTTTTGTTCTAAGCATTAGCAGACAGACAGAGAAAAAAAATTAGTTCGTCCGAATCTGTGTCTGTCCATCGGGAAAGACGAGAAATTTTAGTGACTTAACTGTTTGAATTTACAGTAGCAGAAATACAGATAGAGCTGGAGTCATCAAAATCATGCACTACTGGTTTCAAATCATCGGTTCATCAAGATAACTGATCAATTTATTGCCGTTTTGGTGGCGCTTCATTGTCGCTGCTCTCTGATTCCGACGATGAGGACGTCGGACAGGCAAACAGCTTTTTTTGGACACGCCGGTTTCAGCAGTCGACACTGATGGCCTAGTCAAATCTTCTTGTTCACTGTCAGAAGTACACATTTCAAAGTCATCGTCGCTATCACTTTTGACAGAAACTCCATCAATTCTTCATCAACTTTAACAAGTTTTCTTGCCATTTTGTACTAAGTGTAAAATAATCCAAAAGCACAAATATATATCAGGGCACAAAATACACAGATCACCGACCACGCTGTCACGGTAAACAAAGCAACGGGATAACGCAAAATGCAGTAAACACACCTTAAACACGCCTAAAAGTACGTGCCAGTGCTTTTAATCATATGTAAATGGGTCAGTTTTATCTAAATATAGCTAATGTATATTGCCCTTCAGCCAATAAAATACGAGGTAACAGAAATCTGTAAGAAAAGTCCAAAAACGGCTTAGGACGTCCATAGCATTGGGGGTCAAGAAAAAAATTAACGTCCAAAGACGGGCGTAGCAGCGAACGGGAAATCGGGAAAAGACGTCCATAGCAGCGAAAGGGTTAAATAAAACAAGTTATGCATAACTTATCTAATGTTGCTAGTGATAGTTGTAAAACATATTGCATTAATTGTTTCCCTCTGCCATACTGTTTTATTGTTCTTTCCTCTTTATAACATGCAGTGTAAGAAGCCTGAGGTAGCAAGAGAGGTAAAACTACTGGTATGGCTGATTGAAAACTACCAGAGATGCATTAATTTCATTAACTGTGTGATGCCGATAACAAGCCATAATTAGTGTTTTTTGCAGTTTTTAATGTCAGCCTTGGATTTAAGTTCATTCTTCTGGTTTCATTGTTTTGACTCACCTGGTCAAATGATAATGGTCTCATGTCTCTTTCCTCTTCCTTGTCTCTGTCTTATCCTTATTAAAGAAAATCATCTGTAATGTGGTCCTTAACGGGCTTATATGGTTGAGCAAATAGTTAACGTATATACACATACATTTATTGTTTTTTATTAACATGGCTACTTGTATGTAACATATTTTTTTCTAGATCACTAATATCCCTGCATCTTGACAACACCAATATTTTTATATTAAGATTTAGTCCAGAAGAATTTGCTAGACAAGACAAAAGTCTGTGTATATTTCTCAGATCTGGCAGGATTCATGTTTATATCAGTAAGGATGGGGGGTCAACTCAGGCTCATAAAATGGGGTACCAGATAATTTTCAGTAATGTCTGAGAAGGAAAAATGACAAAAACAGGAACTGGGGAATTCATCTGATTATGCCTTAGGCCAGAGAAGCAGCTGACCAGACAGTTAAAACACCGGGCTCTCAAGTCGGAGACCCAGGTTCAAATCCTCGATGAGGTCATGGGTTTTTCTGTCTGGGCCAAAAAATAAACTTTTAACCTGCACAGTCTTTGGTGACAGCACTAGCCATGCGGCCCTTAATCCTCAGGACCAAAGACCACCTCCCCCTCCCACCCTTTTCCTGTTGCTTACACTGCAGAAGTCATTAATGGCAGTTTTTATACCTTAGTCTAGAATATATGGAGACCCCTAACACTTCACACCTCAGCAGCTAATCAGCATGACACATGATGATGATGCTTGCGAAATGATTGTTACAGCTTGATTCCTTATTCATGAAATGTGTATTTCAAGCACTGAGTATTTAAATATGTTACCAAAATTATCATTGTAGGCGTTTATGAGTGAAGCTGTGAGAGTATAGTGATAGTGCACCACACTTACTAACAGTGAGTTGCTCACACACTTCAGTCCTCAGAAATGACCAAATATTTTCCAGATTATCTGTGTGTAAGATGCCCTCATTTATTTTTTAGTACCAAAATTAAGAAATAAATATTTTAAATATATTCTGTGTATAATACAACACGCAGTTTTATACAATTAACAAATGTCAGAAAACATATCTTCTTTTACATGGACAAATGCACTACTATCTTTCATAGCCTTGTGTTAGCAGGACCTATAAAGATAGGGAAAAAAAACACATAAAGGCTTTGATTTTGTTGCAGACCTTGAGTTTTGCATTTACATGCTTTTATAGATCTGGCTTTTTTGTATGTAGACTGTTGGTGCCTTACCTCTCACGCAGATGCACTCCAACTTTGAAGGCAATACCCATAATTAGTCACCTTGTACGGCATGCTTGTTTGGAAGGCTGTGGGTCTATTGTTTTCTCCAAAAATGGGACCCTTTAACCCACATAGAGATTATGATGACCAGTAATGGCAACCTAACACCACAGCCCCTTCACGCAGTAGCGGCATGCAAGCACAGCTAGATAACATTTTCTTATTCTTCTTCTTCTTTATGCCCTCTTTTACCGCTTCAGGTGTCGAGGGAGATATAAGCTTCATGCTCTTCTGGCTGCTTCGACCATAGACACATCATGGAGCTATAGAGTTTCACTGATGTTATCTTCCCATGTTGTTCTTGGTCTACCTCTTGCTCTACATTCTCCTTCTCTTTTGGTATATGCCTTGAATGGTACAGCATCAGAAGGCATTCTCTCCAAGTGGACAAACCATTTGACATGCTGTCTTTGTTTTATTTTTAACTTATAGTTCTCAGCTTGAAATGGGTACCAGGTAATTTCCTGGGAAGTAAAAGTGTGTGGTGCAGTGTTGACTACATCACCCATCCAGTGCTGATTGGTCTTTACAAATGTGAGTCAAGCATCTTATGCATAATGCACCAGTCGTGTAAAGATCATTTCTTTTTAAAACTGACAGTGGAACTATTAAAATAACCGGAAGAAACCATGGAGTGAAGAATACAAGGGAAAATATGCCACAATAGTTTAATTACATTTATCTGAAACTAATGTCCATAGTACTGACAGTTGTAGTGTTAAATAGAAGGTTAAATACTATAAAATGTTGATTGAAATAATTTTTGCAGAGGTTAAATGACACTACCTAAAGTTGTGAGGAATATAAAAGGATATATTACAAAACACGGCTCTTACGAGCTTCTTCAGAAATTTAGAAAGGACAGTGATTAAAGTAAAACTGGTCAGCTTTGCAAAGGCACAATTACAAGTGACATAATAGTGTTGTGGTATGAAAGACCTTTCTTGCTGCACACAGACCCCCCCCCCCCCACACACACACACACACACACACAAACACACACACATATACACACAATTTTAAAAATAACAATAAAAAAACAAAACAAAAACAAAAAAAAACTTTAGCCTGTACTTTTAAGTGTGGGATGCTCCTTAAAACACATTTGTTTTTTCCTTATGGCTTTGATAAATTAATGTGTAGCACCTGCAGATCTCACTTCAACATTTGGTCTCATCCCTGTCCATGATATTCTCAATATTCTTCTCTGGGAACTGTGGAATACTGCTTCTAGAAACAATGGAAGAAGTATGAAAGATGCAGTAAAGTTGTAAACAGACACTGTAAGAGGTGGGAAGTACATTTGTTTTCTTCACCTTATACTCCATGGTCTTTACAGTATTCAGCATAGCTTTCGCCTTACACAACATGATCTTTACATTACACAGTAGGGTATTCACCTTATATAATATTGCATTTACCTTGCACAAAGTGATCTTTACTTTATACAGTATGATCTTTATGGTATGCAACATGGACTTTACCTTATTCAACATGGTCTACCATATACAGTGTGGTCTTCACCTTGTAGAACAGGACCTTTACTGTATACAGCATGGTGTTTACCTCATACTATATGCTTATATAGCATAGTCTTTTCTAAAAAGTCGGGAGATGTGAACCAGCGTCATTGCACATGGTTATAAACCATGAGTGCTCTGCCACCAGTACGGACAGCTGATAAGACACTGTCTGCCTGTGTCACGTCCGCACGCAACTCCGTAGCTACAGCAACTTTCCTCTGTTTACCCCAGAATTTTAACTCTGGTACCCATGTCCTAGAGGCTGGGTGAACCCCGGAAACCCCCAGAATTTAAACACCGGCCGTGAGCTGCAGCGAGTCGCTGCTGGATTTAAAAGCGCGTCTCCTATCGACTGCGTTAACGCGGCCCCCTATTAGTCTTTTCTATATACAACATAGTCTTTACCTTACACAGCATAGATTGTTGACATGTACGTGTGTTTATGTTTGTTGAAGACAGTGTCAGGAATTTGTTGTCTTGTTTATAGACTGGCAAAAAGGAGCCCAGCAAAGAGTTAGAGCAAGCCATTGACAACATGACTAAGAAGACAAAAGATCTGAGGAGACAGGTTGGTTGAGTGTCATGCCTGTTGTCAAATTGTTATTGCACTTTTTTTTTTTAATTGTGTGAAAACATTTGTTTTGTTGTAGATGATGACAAAATGATAACCAGTATATATATATATATATATGTACGTCACAGTAGCTTAGGTGCTAGATGCTTGCTTCCGGCCCGAAGGTCTCGAATCTCACCAGGGGGTTTGGAGAAAAAAAAATTACACACACACACATTAACATTGGCTCCAGATTTTCTTCAAGATCAATCCAACATAAAATAGGTACCTGTAAATGTCTTGGGAAGTAAATATGGTTGGAATAATTTTGACCACATCTCTCATCTAGTGCTGATTGGTCTATAAAATAATGCGTCTGGCATCAAAGGCCTAATGTAATACTACCATGAAAATGGTTCTTTACTTACTACTTTACTGCAAATAAATGTAGGTGAAAGTATATAACTGTGAAGCTCTATGTAAGAAGATGCAAACAGACAGTAAGCAAATTTTTCATTGAAATTATTTATTAGCAAATACACCAAAAAAAAAAAAAACACGGATGCTTTACTACAGAAAAAAATTAATTGCTTTTTCTAAAACTTTTTTAAGAACATTTTTATTACTCATTTTGATCGTCTATGGTATTTTTAACATTCTTTTTGTAAAACCATATTTCTCTTCCTTATGTTTATGAATTATCTATAAGTCTGTGGATTATATATATAGTTCTTAAATTGACAGTTGCGGAAAGCAGTGGTGGATCATGTGTCTGATACATTCTTGGAGACTAATGTGCCATTGCTGGTGCTGATTGAGGCTGCCAAAGCTGGAGATGAGAAAGGAGTTGAAGAATATGCTCAGGTGTTTATGGAGCACGCTAACAAATTGGTGGAGGTTAGTTATTTGTTCATTCTGTGTGTATCATGTTCGTATAGGTGGAGGTTAGTTATTTGTTCACACTGTGTGTTCGTATAGGTGGAGGTTAGTTATTTGTTCACACTGTGTGTATCATGTTCAGATTGGTGGAAATTATTTATTTGTTCACACTGTGTGTAATGTGTTCAGATTGGTGGAGGTTAGATATTTGTTCACACTGTGTGTATCATGTTCAGATTGATGGAGATTAGTTATTTGTTCACACTGTGTGTATCGTGTTCAGATTGGTGGAGGTTAGTTATTTGTTCACACTGTGTGTATCATGTTCAGATTGGTGGAGGTTAGTTATTTGTTCACACTGTGTGTATCATGTTTAGATTGGGAGGTTAGTTATTTGTTCACACTGTGTGTATCATGTTCAGATTGGTGGAGGTTATTTATTTGTTTACACTGTGTGTATCATGTTTAGATTGGAAGGTTAGTTATTTGTTCACACTGTGTGTATCATGTTTAGATTGGGAGGTTAGTTATTTGTTCACACTGTGTGTATCATGTTCAGATTGGTGGAGGTTATTTATTTGTTTACACTGTGTGTATCATGTTTAGATTGGGAGGTTAGTTATTTGTTCACACTGTGTGTATCATGTTTAGATTGGGAGGTTAGTTATTTGTTCACACTGTGTGTGTCATGTTCAGATTGGTGGAGGTTATTTATTTGTTTACACTGTTTGTAATCATGCTCAGATTGAAGGAGGTTATTTATTTATTCACACTGTGTATCATTTTCAGATTGGCAGAGGTTTTGTTGTTACGACTGTATTTATCATAGGAATAGATTGGTGGAAGGTTTTTTTAATTTTAGAACTATAATTTTCAGTGCAGTATGGTGGACAGGCGGCAGTCTATTAAAATCTTGGAGTGTTGTTTGCTTCTGGTCACGGTTTTGGCCACAGTAACTGCCTGTTTTACCTGGGAAAATGGGGGTTTACAACCAAATCTTTTTGTCTGCACAAAACAGACAAATTGCTTTTGAGTGTCATAAATTTAGTATTTTGGTTTAAATGAATTAAGATCACAGCACTCGGGACACCTCCATCAGCGCCCCATCCCCATCTTCAGCAAGCGAAGAGTTAAAATTTCAATAGTACTTCGGTTCAAATGAATAATGAATTTGCTTCATTTTATTAAATTGTTACTGTAGTAGGCACCTGACAAGATACAGCCAGCCTGTTGTTTATGTCTTCCTTGTTCACATTTACAATGGGGAATCATTACTTTAATTCTTCTTCTTGTTATGTTAATGGAGCAGAGCATCTCAACCATCTCTGGGATAAAAGGGTACACTATTTTTCCAATATAATACTAATATGAAAATGGTTCTTTACTTACTACTTTACTACGAATAAATGTCAGTGAAAGTATATAACTATGAAGCTCTATGTAAGAAGATGCAAACAGACAGTAAAACAACATGGTTACAAAAATTAAAAATTGTTTTTTCTCCTATTTGTGTCTTTAGGTTGCAAACCTTGCATGTTCTATGTCTAGCAATGAAGAAGGTGTGAAGATGGTCAGAATGGCTGCTACAGAAATTGACAGTTTATGTGTGCAGGTGAAAATTCATTCTTTGTAAGAATAGCATGGCCATATCTTTGGTAAAGCTCCTTTGGTAACAATTCTTGATTATCAGATATATCTCATGCTTCATTATTTTAGTAATATATTCAGTTTACATGACATTAAGATATATTGGAGTTTGACATAGCCTAAATATGGAAACCAGAAAATTATTTATGGATAGTAAAGCTGGCTGGATGATATTTATTTTATAATATTTAGTGTCGTCCCTATGTCGGACACTATTTTTTGTTATTTGAAGCCCCACCCTGACTTTTGCAGGGGGGGGCCTTAATATAGCCGGGCCATAAATATGGCCTAAAGGGCTGAACTGGGTTTCTGGGACCTCTCCATAGGGGCTATTTTCATCGGTATGTGGGCACTTTGAGTCACCGGGTGTTTATCGCTTGTGTGATGTCCTGGTGAGGTACAATTTACTTACTTACTACATAATATATAAGTGGTTGTCTGTCCAAAAAAGAAAAGACTAGAATCATATGCTAAATATTCCCAAAGATCCTAAAAAACTAAATCAGTTATATTTAAAAAAAATATTTGGTCACTTCCACACAGAAGGTAATATCATTATTAGTTCCAATATTATAATAAGCAGCCTCACCTGATCATCATAAATTTAGTCCCAAACAATGAACTTACACAAATTTAGTTGATGTAAATACACAATAGAATTTAAATTGACGATTTTGAGTAAATTTAAAGTGAATAGAGAAATAGTACAAATCTGAGATTTCTTTTTCTTACCAGCTGGAACAAAAATTTGACCTTATCTGATCATCACTAATCTTCAGACAAACAGCATTAATAGACCAAATAGATCAACAGCTTGGTATTTTTTTTGGAGCAAATTGAAGGAAACAAATGGAAATAGCCTAAAACTTCACCATGTGGGTTCTGGGACCCCATTGTGGGGGAAAATAAGAATAGACCCAGTGTCTGCCCAAAAGCATGTCATAAGAATAGACTAATTAGGCGCTTTCTTTAAAGTTGCCTGAGAGGCAAGGAACCAACAGTCTGCGTGCAAATGAGTCAGTCTTGTAAAACGGATGTACACGCAAAACTTAGTTTCTGGAACAGGACTAGAATCCAGAAATGGACGAGCAACCAGAAATTATAGCCGGGGTTTACAGCCGATGAACATGAAGAAGAATAAGAAGAAGCCCAAAACAGATTTGTCCGTGACCGGCCCGATCAGGAAATTTTCCCAAAAAATTGCCAGCCAAGCCAATAGGTGGTCAAGTCACAAGATCTAGAATAACGGAAGTGTTATCTGACAGTTGCATGCTACATTTTGCTATGATTTTTTTTTGGGGGGTGGGGGGGGTGGTTTGGGAGGTGGGGGGGGGGGGAATTCTGTTATAACTAGAAATATATTATGATCTTTCAATTATTAGGTTATCAATGCAGCTAGAGTGCTGGCTGCTCGGCCCCGATCTAAGGCAGCCCAAGAGAATATGGATGCATTTAAGGATGCATGGGAGAAACAAGTTCGTCTGCTTACTGAAACTGTTGATGACATCACTACTGTTCATGACTTTCTTGCTGTGTCAGGTATACTGTGAATATGTGTCAGATATAAAATTGGTTAAATCTTGTTTTCTTGATAATCAGCCTCCCCCCACCTTTTCCTCATTCCTCCCGCAACCTTTGTGGATTCTCGGGCCCAATTTGATGTGTGAAAAGTGTGGGGGTTGGGGCGGGAAGGGGTGGATAAACCCACTGTTCATTAACAAATGTGTCGTAAAATACGACTATTTAAGATTTTGCTGAAATTGAATGTGCTGGGCTAAAAGTTGTAGATGTCACAGCATAGCTGTAAACCACAACACACTGTGCCAGCAACCCTTTTAAGGGTATGATAGAAAAAAAAAATAACCAAGTGAAATTCTCATGGTCTGTTATGACATGACTAAGGCAGTCCCCAAGAAATGATAATCAGATACAAGAACCTGCTACTGCAAAAGATGACTTTGATAACAGTCTACCTTGCGTTGATTTTGACAATGCTGTCAGCATCGTACTGTACTGATCAGACAACTGACAACCAACAAATGTAAAATTGCCTAGTGAAACTACAGATAGCCAATAGTCCTGGGATTATTCTTCTTCTTCGCCTTCACCAGCTGTAAACTCCGGCAGAAAGTTCTGGTTGTTTGTCCAGTTCTGGGCTATAGTCCCATTCCAGAACCTGAGTGTTGCATGCGCATTTATTTTACAGACCTGACTTATTTGTATGCAGACTGTTGGTTTCTTTCCTCTCAGGCAGATGCACTCTGACTTTGAAGGAAGCTCCCGATTAGTCGACTCTTACAACATGCTTTTGGGTAGGCAGTGGGTCTGTTCTTGTTTTCCCTATAATAGGGCCTCAGAACCCATACGGGTTATCCTCGGATTGTTTTGTGAAATCCTGTAAAGGATGTGCAACTGAATACTTTTACCTGGAAGTTAACCTGGTCGAAAAATTCATGATGAAGTTGAAGGTATCGGTTGAAAGGCATCAATATTGCAGCTTTGCTGTAAACAAGCACCAGGCAATTACATCACTCTGACGAACGAAAAGAAGAAGAATTGTTTAAAACTGTAAAATGAGGTTGCTTTAATATCATTATTCATGTTTAATTTTTTTTTCATTTCGCACTGTCTCCACTGTGAAGGTTGGCCACAGTGCACCCATTGCTGTCTTTATGAATATTATGTCTCTTCCCACAGTTTGTGCTATTATCCTAAACCACGAGAATGATTTTTAAAAAAAATGAAAACCCATCCAGCTCAGAAGTCGAACCCTAGCTCTTAAAGATTGTCAAATTGTTAAATACATTCAATAAACAATAAGCCACAGATCTGTATTTATTATTAAGGTAATCATCTGCTTCTTCACGTTCACCGGCTGTAACCTCAGGTAGAAAGTTCAGGTTGTTCATCAAACTCTGGACTTTAGTCTTGTTCCAGAACATAGTATTATGTGTACATCAGTTTTACAGATCTAGCTTTGTATGCAGATTATTGGTTCCTTGCCTCTCAAGCAGATGCACTCCAACTTCGATGGAGTCCAGAGTTAGTTGACTCTCATGACATGTTTGTTGAGGAAGCAGTAGGTCTGTTCTTGTTTTTCCCCACAGTGGCCCTTTTGAACCCACACGGGCAGTTCAGGTAATGAGTGTCTTTATGCCTAGATTATTTTATCTGAGAAAATATTTGTTACATCTGATAGAAAACCACATTTTGGAGGATGTCAACAAATGTGTGATTGCCCTGCAAGAAAGTGATGCTGACACCCTAGATCGAACAGCTGGTGCCATCCGAGGACGATCTACACGAGTCTGCAATGTTGTAGTTGCTGAGATGGACAACTATGAGTCAGGACAGTATACAGAGAGAGTGATGGAGGCGGTTGTGATGCTGAGAGATCAGAGTAATGTATATTTTGTTGCATCATTTTATTTGGTCTCGGGGTGTAGGAGGCAAGTGGTAAGGTCAGGGCAAGGTGTGCACAAAGTTCTTTCACTTGCCCTGATATACATCCTCACTCCTAGTTGCACGTAATGGTTTCTCCCACTGCCTAATCTCAAGAATAATTTTTTAATCAGTCAGTCAGTCAGGTCAGTCTCCAACACTGAAGGTTGGCTGCAATGGATCTCCAGAATGCTCTGTTTCTTGTCTTGGTTGTACGCTTTCTCAGACTGCTGTTCAACCATCGCTTGTATTGTCTCCCACTTGTGTCATTGTCTACCTCTTGCTCTCTTGCCCTTGACCTTCCCCTCCAGTATGGTTTTTAAAAGTGTATTATATCTCACTGCTGGCTGCGTGGATTTTTATTATGGTACGGGGCATCGCAGGTCGACCCAGCCTAAAATTGGTACCAGGATGGGCTGTCCTGGGAAAGTAAAGACAGCCGGCGTAATGCTGACCACATTACCCACAGAGTGCTGATGGTCTGTAAAAATATGGGCGCTCTTCCCATATGCCCGATACGCCTAAAGGCGTGGAAAGGGATCTTTCCTTTTTTTTTTTTTTTTTTAAACCATTTTTCTGTCCCATACAGCAGGGTTGAGTATACATAACATTTGACGGTTCTCGTTTTAATGTTTTGTAAATCTTTCTACCTGTCAGTAATTTGTGCATCTTATTAAGATAGTCTTAGCCATTCCTATTCTTTCTGATTTCTGTCTCACTTCTGCCATCATCTTCGTGTATTACTACATGTTCAAGACAAGGGAAACTTGTTGCTTGTTCTAATAGCTCTCCATTTACTGTAATTTTCACTGCTGCTCCCTCTTTTTCATTGTTAATTAACATAGTTTTTGTTTTACAAATGTTAATGTCTAAACCATGGCTGTCAGCCTTTCTAATGCCGCGACCCTTTAATACAGTTTCCTCATGTTGTGGTGACCCCCAATTATTTTCCTTCATAACGTCAATGAATATGTGTTTTCCATGGTCTTAGGCGACCCAGGTAAAAGGGTCGTCATTTGACCCCAAAAAAGGGGTCGCTACTCGCAGGTTGAGAACCACTGGTCTAAACCATACTCTGCACCCCCCACTGTTGACTTGATCCACTGGGTCTTGTAACTCCTGCTCGCTTTCTACTAGTAACACTGTGTCATGACTAGCTTTCCCTCGTTGTTTATGCATACCCAGTTAGGATACTATTTCGTGCTAATGTGTACTACTTTACCGTGACTTCTCAGAGGCTCCTAACCACTGTATGACCTCGAAAACACAAGTTACACAGAAAAACAAACAGGGAGATAGTTCTTATACTACCATCTAGTTCTGTTAAATAAATGACAGTTAATTAACATTTACAGATGAGACCACTACTATTACCTTTTATACTGTATTACTCTATCACTACTATTACCACTACTACTACTCTACCCCATGCTGCATTGCACATTCTGTTTGTCCAGACCATCTACTTGGATGCTGGTTGACGACTGACTTTAACTTGTCCGTAACCTGAACTTGTTTCCATAATCATATCTAATTCATATGGTTTGTGTGTGCCTTGTGATATTCACATGTTTTATTTTTTGCTGTCAGACGTGGATATCTTTGACCTTTTCTCTTACAAGTGATCTCATTTTTTACACTCACATGCACATGTGCGTGAGCGAGCGGGCACACACACAATTTCACCTGTTTTTATATATATTATTATTATTTATTGGAGTATTGACTCAGTAAATTAAAATTAGTTAAACAAATGTAAATCTTTCCATTATAACATTTTTATCAGTCTAAACAATCTTCTAATTATTTGTTTGTGACAAATATGAATAAAGTAAAGTAAAGATCCCTTTTCACAATTTAGGCGCATCGGGCGTATGGAAAGAGCACCCATATTTTTACCGACCAATCAGCACTAGGTGCGTAATGTGGTCAGCATTACGCCAGCTGCCTTTACTTGCCCAGAACATACATACTGGTACCCATTTTAGGCTGGGTCAACCTGTGACGCCCCATACCATGATAAAAAATCCACTCAGCCAACAGGGGGTTTCGATCTCAGTACATTGGTATTTCGAGTTGGACTTGCAACACCTAAGCCACGGACGCCGCGACAAATATGAATAGTGTACTAATATTGGAAGTACATTCTGTAAAATCCAATCAGGACAGTCAGTTACCAGAAATATGTAGCTCATACAAGATAGCCGAAGCCATAGAGAGCAGTTTCCTGTTGATGTTGCTTTTTATTGTATTTATCCGAGTCCCAGGAGTCAGGTAATGTTAATAAAGTTAAAAGACCTAAGTAAAACTGTATAAACTGGCAGTCAGTCAAACTGTTAAATTATCTTCTTGCCAATTTACAGTCATGCCAAACTTTGCTGAAAAAGTTGAACTGGCAGTGGATGCTCTCAACTCAAACCCTTCTAAAGATGTTGATGAGAATGATTTTATCGAAGCTTCACGTTTGGTTTATGATGGTGTGAGGGATATCAGACAAGCTGTGCTGATGAGTGGGGTAGGTTCGGCTGATGTCTTGTTTTGTCCTTTAAAGAAAAAAAAAATTATAATTTGGTTAAGTACAAGCATTTCTGCTTTTGTTGATGCTGGTTGCTTTTTTTTTTAAATACACATTTTAGTTTGAATCAGAAAGTCACACTCAGTTGTGCCTAACTGCAGGTGTGCCTGATTGCAGTTGTGCCTGATTGCAGTTATGCTTAACTGCAGTTGTGCCTAATTGCAGTTGTGCCTGATTGCAGTTGTGCCTGATTGCAGTTGTGTCTAATTGCAGTTGTGCCTGATTGCATTTGTGCCTGATTGCAGTTGTGCCTGATTGCAGTTGTGTCTAATTGCAGTTGTACCTGATTGCAATTGTGCCTGATTGCAGTTGTGCCCAATTGCAGTTGTGTCTAACTGCAGCTGTGCCTAATTGCAGTTGTGCCTGATTACAGTTGTGCCTAATTGCAGTTGATTCTAAGTGCAGTTATGTCTAATTGCAGTTGTGCCTTATTGCAGTTGTGTCTAATTGCAGTTGTGCCTAACTATTTATATTCTCTTGTCTGATGGAGCAGTTGAGGTTTGTCCCAAATACTGGTATGTTTCTGTTCTTTTGAATTTCATATTATTTGTATTTTAAGTAGCTGGAGTTTTTATCCTTTCCCCCTCTTGTTTTTTCTGTATATTATTTTGATAACAGTCAATTTTTTTGTTTCATCACCTGCTTCCTTTAAGTGAGCCAGTGTTTTCACTGTATCAGCTTCATTAGGTATAGTGTGCATTGCAGTTAATTAAATAGCATTGTTTTTATGTTGAGATTCATTGAGTAATTTCTGATTTTTATTCAAGGCTGAATTTGATGAATCGGACAGTGAAGACTTTGAAGATGAATATGTTTACGCTCAGTGTAAGTTTTTGTTGTTATTGCTACCAATTTCATGAACAATTCTACTATCCTGTTAAGATGCATTTAGTAAAGTAAGTAAGTAAAGGACCCCTTTTAAGCCAGAGGCACATAGGACGCTAGACTCATATTTGCATAGGTCAGTCGACACTAGATGGGTGATGTGGTCAACGGTCAACATCATACTGGCCGCCTTGACTATTTCAGGACTTTATCTGGTACTGATTTTAGAAGGATGCATTTATTAATGCTAAATATTTAGAATCAAACAATTAGTTATTACGCCTGTGTTTTACCAGGACCCCTGGGGAAGCGAACAGAGAAACAAACTTTTTTTTTAAAGGGTTAAGAAGTGGGCACCCAGGCCCATAACGTATTCCGCCCTTCTGACCTCACTTCTTTCATACGTGATTTCATTCATACATCTTGTAACATGTAATAATGAACATCGCTGACAAGAACTGAATATTCATTACAAATGCTCAAATTTGTGACTCCATTTCTAATTGTAATAAATCTAGGGAAAATATACAGTATACCTCAAATACTATGATATTTTCAAAGAACATATAATCATTACTGAGAGCTGCCATGGTGTAGTGGTAGACACTTGCCTGCAGATATGAAGGTCCTGGGTTTGAATCTGAACAAAGCCAGACTTTTTTTCTTTTTCGAAAATGACCTTGTCTGCCAGGATGACCCAGTCTTGAGTGGGTACCAGGTAAAATCCTGGGAGGTAAAGATGGCCGGCCCGATTTTGACCACATCACCCACTGAGTGCCAGTTGGTCTAGCCCTATATACTGAATATGTCTGAAGACATGGAAAAGTGTCCTAATAATCAGTACTGAAATAATATTCAACAAGTTTCTGACTGTATGTATAAGGTTTAGTAGATTTTTGATTTTCTGTGACAGCTGGTTCCACATTTGAGCTGTGGAGTACACTAAGCTTGCTTTTATAAGAAGGCAAAGGAATGTAAGAGAAAACTTAGGAAGCTCGGCATCGAGCTGATTCTTTCATCTTGTAGATAAGCTAAACCTGTAAATCATGAACATGTGTGCGAAGAGATAGACATGTTGAATTGGTGGCCTATGCTGCATTGGGAGATGAAAGCCATAAAGGAAAACACAACAACTTCTCTAGAGGGGTTCAGAGACACTAAAAGTACCGTTGCTGTGAATCCAGAATACTTATCATTCATGAATGTTACATCGACTTTTCTGTGTGGCATGCTTCCTTGTGGAGGACACGGGTGAGGAGTATTGTCTGGATTTTTTCTCTCCGGGAGACGCCAGTGTGTTGAGAAACGAAAAGGCGGACAGACTTGCTGGCTCTTCACAATTTGGTGGAATACTAATGGTTGATAGGGCAGAATTATATGGTTTATTAAAGTTTGGAACTTAAAAAAAAAAAATAATTATCCCATTCACATTTTGTTAGTAGAGTAAAAGTGAAGGTCCCTTTTCCACGCCTTCAGGTGTATTAGGAATATAGGGCTAGACCTATATTTGTATAGACCAATTGGCACTTGGTGGGTGATGGGGTCAGCATCACGCTGGCCACCTTTACTTCCCATGACTGCACCTGGTACCCCCTCAAGGCTGCATCTACCTGGGAGACAAGGTTATTTTATATTTTGTTGGTTTTTAAGCTTGATTATCCCTGTGTGGGTTCTGGGACCCCATTGTGGGGAAGACCAGACTAGACCCACTGCCTCCCCAAAAGCATGTCATAAGAGTCGACTAATTGGGAGCTTCCTTCAGAGTCAAAATACATCTGCCTGAGAGCCAAGGAACCAACAGTCTGCAAACAAGTAAGTCAGATCTGTAAAACAGATGTGCATGCAACACACAAGTTTTGAAACAGGACTAGAGTCCAGAAAGGGAGGAACATGCAGAATTTTACACCGATGTTTACAGCTTTAGCGGAAGAAGCTTTTTAACTACAAAGTTAACATTGTATTTATCTTTTCTTTGCATGAAGCGAGTGTAACAGATCATACTGACCATGAAGATGTTTATGGCAAAAGTGATCGTGCAATGATGAGGCATTTGCCGGAGGAGGCGAAGGAGGTGATCCATCAGGAGGTGGAGCAGTTCAGAATGGAGAAGGCCAAGCTGGACAGAGAGGTTGCCAAGTGGGATGAGAGTGGCAATGATATCATTGTCATGGCTAAACAGATGTGTATAATAATGATGGAGATGACAGATTTTACAAGGTACAAGAATTATGATTTTAACATTGCATACATAATCTGAAGACAGTGAATCTAGAAAGAACATTTAAAAAAAAAATTATTATTAGATATATTAAAAGAAAAACAGTAAATTAACAGTGACATTACTTTTTTGTTTGTTTTGTTTTTTGTTATAAGAAGTATCAAGAGAATAATGATGAATTTAGAAAGACATAACTTTTTTTAAATAATTATTTGAAATATCAAGAGAATAACAACAAAGAATTTAGAAGATACTTTTGTTTTAAATTATTAGTTAGATAAAGAGAATAACAATAAATTTAGAAGGAAGTCACTTTTTTAAACAACACTTCTCACCTTACATTTGTTTTATCATTTTCTTTTTTTCTCCCCTCTTACCCCCCACTGAAAGATGAGCCCTCTACCAGTTCACTTCAGGTCATCCTTTTCTTTGCTATTGCTTGCAGATCATCCCATGTTTTCCCCATCTTATTTATCTGTTTTCTAATTCTCTTCACCTTCTTGGTTCCCTTTAAAAGGGGGTAATAGGTGATTGGCTTTGCCTACTGCAAACAAGTAATTGATGTTTTTGACAGAGCATTACTAGTTGTATTAATGATCTTTCTATGCTGAGGCTTGGGTCTCTGGCCTGTGTAACGCTCTGTGGGCCACTTGCCAGGCCTCTGCAGGCCAGATTTGACCCGTGGGCCGCTAGTGGAATAGCCATGCCCTACATCCTAGTGAGAAAGATATCCTGGCCATTCAGCCATCAGGGCCACAACTGAATGCAAAAAAAAAAAAAATTTTAAATAGTCAAACATGTTCAAGCAGCGGCTGGCACTGGTTTGAATCCTTGGTGAGGCTGAGGATTTTTTCTGTCGGGGACAAAATTAAATCCTCACCTGAGCAGTAGTGGCGACAGCACTAGCCATGCGACCGTAAATCCTCAGGCTCAAAGACCCCCTGTCTGCACCACAAAAGTGGTATAATAAAACCAGTAATTGGCAGTTTGGCAGAAATACATTCACAACTGTACATTTACAGAGGCCGAGGTCCGCTGAAGAACACCATGGATGTGATTAATGCGGCCAAGAAGATATCTGAGTATGGAACAAACCTTGACAAAATTGCCACCACTATTGCTGATCAGGTATGTAGATTAAGTTTGTAGACTACTAACCTAGATTGAACCCTTTCAGCATGGGAAACTGTAAATCCGAAATTTCCGCTAGGGTCACATCATCATCAGATACATATTCTTTCAGGCTGGGCAATGTATTCCCTTTAAAACTTCACTCTTTTCATGTTTATTGATTAACTCCCTTTCTATATCTTCATATAGTTTGAAATTTGTGTGTGAAACAAATGCAGGCAAATAAATATTTTTAGTGACCTGTCTGAAATGGGTATTTTTGCCCAGGAATTCCCACGGGTTCAGGACCCATTTTTTTTTTTTAGATTGTCCACATTTGCACTAATAGTAAAGTTTGGGTAGAAATATACTGTATATTGTTGCTTTTAATTTTGTACTGATATGTGAATGACCAAGTAAGGATGACGAGTGGTAAGTCACAGTGTTTATTTACGTTTGCAAACATTTTTTAAACATCTCTCAGTAAAGTATTTCTTCCATAAACACACTACCTAGATGCTTGATTACTGCGACATGATTTGTTCTTCTTTTTCTTCTTCTTTGTGTTCACAGGCTGTAAACTCCGGCAGAAAGTTCTGTGATTGTTTGTTCACTTCTGGACTCTAGTCTTGCTCCAGAACCTGTGTGTTGCATGCACATCTGTTTTACAGATCTGACTCATTTGTATACAGACTGCTGGTTCCTTGCCTGTCAGGCAGATGTACTCTAACTTCAAAGGAAGCTCCCAGTTAGTAGATGTTACAACATGCTTTTGGGTAGGCATAGGGTCTATTTTTGTTTTACCCACAGTGGGTCCCAGTACTGCACAGAGAATATGTTTTGTTCATTTTAAATATATATTTCTTAATTGATTTCTGTGATCTGTGTATCTTCACAGTTTTAGTCTTAAATGCATTGATCTTCCTCTCATATATTTTGCACACAGTAGATATTGCATATTGAAGCGTGACATATGGAGCATCAGTTGGTCTTTAAATATATATAGGTCTAATTTAGATAAAGTAAAAAAGTTAAAGATCCTTTTTTATGCCATTGGGGGATCGAGCATATGATGTTAGTAAATTTGTATAGACCAACTGGCAATCTGTTGGTGACGTGGTCAACTTACATTGGCCGCCTTTACTTTCCAGTACATTTTTTGATATTCAATTAAGACTGGGTCAGCCTGGTAGTCAAAGTTAATTTAAAAAAAAAAAATATTTTGATAAATATTTGAACCCAATACCTTCAGGCTGGCAGGCAAGCATCTAGATTGTACTCAGTAACTGTACTCTGTAATGTTGACATGTTATTATCTCAGTGTCCTGAAACTCACTCAAAGAAGGATCTGGAAGCCTACTTGCAGCGCATTGCCCTGTACTGTCACCAGCTGAACATCACCAGCAAAGTCAAGGCTGATGTTCAGAGTGCCAGCGGAGAACTTATTGTGTCGGGGGTAAGCCATCTTTCCAGTTTTATAAACTAACCTGCATGGGGTCTGTTAAGCTTTTCTTATTTTAAAAACGCCAGGATAGGAGCGTTTGGAGCAGTTATTTTTTCTTTTGTGACCTAGAACACTTCAGTTTTACAAGCTAAACAACAAGCCATCTGGCTGTACTTCAGTTTTGAATACAGGGAGAGGGAATTAACTCTAGTCAAAAGTTACAGGCCGCTAATTCTTTTCTTCTCTTGTTAGATGCAGGTGCACCTGTGTAGCTATCCACATCACAGGGTTTAGTAAGTAAGTAAATTTTACCTTACAAGGACATCACACAGAGTTATAAACACCCAGTGATACAAAGTGCCACCATGCGGATGAGGATCACCCGTGGAGAGGTCCCAGAAACCATGTTCAGCCTTCAGGCTATATTGCGACTCCCAGCAAAAGCCGGCGTGGGGTTTTGGAATAACAAAAAAATTGCATCCCACATGGGGACAACCTTAACAGCATCACAAGGTTTGACAGTTTGAACTTGTATTCTTGATAGGTTACAGGCATTTGACTTAAAAACTATAGGACTGGTTGCTTTGTTCTCTCTAAACAGGCAAAATGACTTTGAGTTATGTTGGAGCTGGACATTTTGTTTCTTTATTTCTTATTGAACATCAGATTCAATTGGGAAAAACACATGTTGTGAAGTCTAGATTGTGTCATCACACCACTCCAGAGAAATGTTAGCTTTATGGTCATTTTATGCATGTGTAAATGTGTATGTGTCTGTTTCTCTCCTTTCCCCTTCTCTCTCTTTTTTAAGTCTCTCTCTCTCTCTCTCTCTCTCTCTCTCTCTCTCTCTCTCTCTCTCTCTCTCTCTCTCTCTCTCTCTCTCTCTCCTCTCTATTCCTGGCTTTCCTGATTCCCTCCCTCCAACAATTTCTGTCGCCCTCTCTGATTGACACCATCACTGTTTTCATATTTCTTTAAATACATTTTCAAAATATTTTATATGTGGATTTTTTGGGGGTGTGATTTGGGTAACTGTCATATATTGCAATGAAACTGCATGTTTATTTGTATAGTTCATTTCTGTTAACTTTTTCTTTAGCAAAACATTTCTCCATACAAATTTTTTTCCCATTTTTACTAGAATCTAAATTGTTTTTATCATCCAATCATCTTCTCGTTTGCAGTTACTTTTTCAGTTATATTATCTTAATGCAAAGTTTTCTAGCAGTCTTATGTTTTGTTTTGTATCTGCTTCAGCTGGATAGTGCCACATCTCTGATTCATGCAGCCAAAAATTTGATGAATGCAGTTGTGCTCACAGTCAAGGCTTGCTATGTTGCATCAACAAAGGTACCTTTTGTAAATACTGAATTATTTAAAAAATTATAATTTAATCACGCCTACCGCTCAGAAACTGGAAGATTCGAAAACAGTGATGAGAAATAGCTAACATGGTGCTGTAAAATTGAAATGTAGACTTCCTTGCCAAAGAAACAGAAGGAAGCCACTGATAATAGGAATTTTACTGTTGCAGTTCAATGGAAGGAGATTTTCACTATTACCTACAGATGTATCAATGTAAAACCAAAATTGTCTAAAAATACTCCTTCTCACCCTTGATCCATTTATTTGCATTTCCTTGATTTGAGCGTGAGTAGTTCTGTCTTATTATTTGATTTTTTAAATAATTTTTTTTAAATTAGACAGATTAATTGATTTCCCATAAAACGTAATGGGAAATTCGGTTTTGAGATACAAACTTTTTTAGATACCAACCACAATCAGGAACAAATTAAGTTCGTTAGTTGAAATACCACTCTATTCTGTTATAGCAGTGGGGCTAAACAGGCACTCCATCAGTGTCCCATAGGAGATACGCCTGCTCAGCTACCGATTTAGGCATTTAACTGCACACTCTTCATGTATGATGAATTTGATTTTTTTTTAAAACATATCTTTATGTGAATATTATTTGACGAGATTATTTGTTTTCTCTCTCCGTAATTTCAGTATTCAAAGGCAGCCAATGTAAGTAGATCATGTGTAGTTTGTTAAAAGATTCTCTCTTTGTGTTTGAAGTGTGTTTACCTCAGTGTATTTATTTTGTTTGTGCATGTCTGCAGCTAAGTTAAAATAGTCTTTAAAGTTAGTGCAAGTAATTTACACATTTGATTTTGTCCCTAATGCCGCTGTTTGAAACAATCTATATTCTTGACATATACAAAATTCTGCCTGACTGCTTTTCTCCAAGTTATTTTGTTTTTAGTAGTGTTGGGGGCAGCTAGCTCTCCTATGAGGGTAAAATGCACAAGCTACTAGCTCAAGCCAACCCACCATCCCTGTGGTGCACACTGGTAACTGTCTCTGTGAGGATACAGTTTAATGGGGAAATGACCACCTTGTGCAGAGTGGGCTCTGCCAGGGTTAAAATACTGCCTGGGCACACTTCCGACATGCCAACACCAAGAACATTGCATCTGACCTGCAGAGGTGGAGAGAACTGACCAGTCAGCAGTAACCAATATTGCATTTTTTAAAAAGTAAAAATCCCTTTTCACACCTATAGGCGCATCATGCATATGGGAAGAGCACCTCATATTTTTACAGACCATTTGGCACTAGGTGGGTAACGTGGTCATCGTTACGCCAGCCGTCTTTACTTCCCTAGGACATCCATCCTGGTACCCATTTTAGGCTGGGTCGACCTGCGACGCCCCATATCATGATAAAATCCATGCAGCCAGCAGTGGGTTTCAATCGCAGTACATTGGAGTTACGAGTCTGACTCGCAACTCCTAACCCACGGACGCCACACCAATATTGCATATTGTTATGTATGATACTATGGGGTGAAGATTTTGTCTTACATTGTATTCGTTATAATCTTTTTAATGCCTGTCCCAGATCTGCTGACACCAGAAATCCTAATTGCTTATCTGTATATTTATAATTATCAAGTCAATTATACTTCCCTTTTTTTTAAATAGAAGAAAGAAGTTGTTTTATGGAGGATGAAAGCTCCAGCCAAAAAACCACTTGTAAGACGTGAGGATCCAAATGAACTTGGAGCAAAAGTCAGGAAGGGTGCAGCAACGAAGTCAGCCATTGAGCCAATCAAAGCCCTGAGTGAATTTCAAGAGGTGGACCCTGACAGCTTTTGCTAGGATTTGTTTTTAATCACTAATATACACAGTGCATAAGTTAACTGCATATTGTAAGCTACAATTGTTAATGTAAATGTAAATCAACAAAATGCTGTTAGCAGCAGTTGTTACTGTATATGTAAGTCAACAAAATGATGTTAGCAGCAGTTGTTACTGTATATGTAAATCAACAAAATGCTGTTAGCAGCAGTTGTTACTGTATATGTAAGTCAACAAAATGATGTTAGCAGCAGTTGTTACTGTATATGTAAGTCAACAAAATGGTGTTAGCAGCAGTTATTAATATATACATAAGTCAACAAAATGCTGCAAAGAGTAATTTTTCATGTATTTTATCTTAATTTGGAGCTGCAGTGATCAATAACATCATATAATTGTTGTGGTAATTAAACTATTTTAATGATGTTTCAAGTTTAAAAAAATGCCCAGCTTTAGCAAATGTCGTAAATACACTTGAAATTTTTCAGTGTCATGTAAACACATGTTTTAGCAAAATGCAGTAGACACCACTCAAGAAAGCAAAAGACTTCAAGTATATAAAGTAAAAGTAAAGGACCCTTTAGGCGTATAGGGCATATAGAGCTAGACCTATATTTTAATAGCCCAATCAGCGCAAGATAGGTGATGTGGTCTGCATCACGCCAGCCACCTTTACTTCCCATGACTGCACCCGGTACCCACTCAAGGCTGGGTTGACCGTGGAGCCACTTCAAGTATATAGGCAGCATAATATCATTCAATGGAAAAATGGAAGCAGAGCTAGAGCACAGATGTAATAAAGCAAATGAAATTATTGGACATGTGTCACCAATTTTGCAGAGCAGCCATGTAGCAATTGAAGCCAAAAGATCACTATTCAATACAGTATTTTAACTGTTTTACCAGTGCCAGATATAGACATTTTCAATGAAAGAAAAAAGAAAAATGTAAACAACAGAAATAAAAGGTCAAGAATGAATTCTAAATATAACTAGAAGAGACAAGGATTTTTTTTCAACCACCACTAGACACACATGCACGCACACATACGCAGGCTGTCACTGAATAGCCCTGTTTTAGAAGATGCAAACACATTTCTACTAGACTCTCTTGGAGGGTAAAGATGGCCACCAGTAATATTAACCACAACAACCATGTGAGTGCAGATTAGTGTATTGAGAGATCAGCCTAGGACTTTTATCCCATTATGCTGCAACCCATGAAAAAATGTCCTTTACTAATTTTTGATTTTATTATTCATAAACCCTACTCGGTAAAATATAGGACCCTTTTTGTATCAGTGGTGCCACGAGCACATGATGCTACATTAAAATGTGTATAGACCATTTGGCACTTAATGAGTGATATGGTCAACATCATGGGAATCCCTAGTCTAACACACTGTGGTTGTAGTGCAGTATTCACCATCCACATAGCAACATTTAAAATATATAATTATTTATTTTAATCTTTACCTAATTTTGACATAATATTTTATTTTAATTTTCAACAGTTCTGTATAGAGCTTTCAGGTTTTGTTTATTTGTTTTTGTTCAACTTTCAAAAGTTTCAGAGTCGGCTGTTCGGTATTGTGGTATGATAATTTACTTTCTCTAGAAGCCGGAATGTGTTTCCACAGAGAAAAAAGGCTTTATACCGTGTTCCTACTATTTTAAAAATTCAACCGTAATCATTGTCTCTAATTTGTCAGATTTTCAGCTGTTCGCTTTAAAAACAATACTATGTGGAACAGCAGAAGGTGAAAAGACACATTATGTGATGGTTGGGGTTCACAAGGAAAAGACAATGACACTTCATATATGCTTGGGCCTAAAAGAGTTCAATCTTAGTTCAAAAACTGTCAAATATATGTAAATAATGTAGAGTGGAAAATGAATTAGTATATTGAAAGTTATTCATGATTTGATTAATATATGTCTGCACATCTCAAGAAGAAGATGTGCCCTAAAATCACATTATAAATTCATAAAATTGTTTGCCAGCTGGTTTTTGTATTTGACACTTAATGTAAGCCACATAAATATCTTCTAATTTGCCTGTATTTAATATTAAAACTCCACATAATAAACTTCTTGCCAGATTTTTTTTAAGAAAGCACATTCTTTTTCTTTCAGTGGAATGCCATTCATATGATCTTCCTGCTGTTACTACATTCACATTTTGTTTTTTATTTCTGGAACCCAGTTGATTCATCCTACGTTTCCCACTGTATTTATCTTATTTTACTGTCAGTGTTCACTATAGACCAACATGTTCTGGAGGCACCACATTTTGACTATCAGTTCTGTCTATGATTTGCAGACCTTTTCTAAAACTACTTCATAAATTGTTTTTTTGTGCTCTGTTAAAGAGGCATTATTGCACACCCTGCCAAAACATCTTACGTTTTATATTACATTTGATACCTCACTTTTGCTGTGAATATTTATTGTCAGTTTTTAAGTATAAAATATTTATTGTTTTGGATAGTAAATTGATTTGAGGATGTTTGCAGGCTGTTTGGTTAGTATGATGTGGCGAGTGAAATATTTGCTGAACAAATAATCAGTTTTGCAGTTGACAACATCCTCAAGCGGGTACAAGAACCCCATAGTAACAGACCCACTGCCCCTTAGCAAGCATGTCTTAAAAAGCAACTGATTGAGAGTTTGTTGCCAACCATGCTTTTGAGGATGAATGAAAAAATAAAAGAAACTGATGCCTTGTTTTCAATAAGGAGATTCAGTTTTGTTTGATGAGGTGGTTGTGTGATGTTTGATTTATTTTGCTCATGTTTATAATGTAGATTTATGTTAGCTAGCCACATAGTGCATGTTTATTTCCTGGTTGAGGATGATGTTTATTTAGCAAAGTGTGACTTGTTCTGCAAGATCTCAGCATTACGAAACAGAATGTGACTTTTAAACAGCATCATGTCTCAAACACTGTTATACTTTGAGCAGATTTAAACATTACAGTGACAAATAGTTAACAGTATTGGAAGTAGCGGTTCTTAGAAGAACTGGCAGGGATTTTTAAAAAAACCATGAAAATAGGCACATGAATTAAGAAAACCTTGAGCATGAAAATGCAAAAAGCAGGGGAAAATGGCAAATGATTGGGAATCTTTTCCTAGGCATTAATAAGAACAGTGTTCTGTGAAGGAGCTGCTACTTGATGATAATCATTATGTCAACTTTTAAAATTAGAAAGCAAAGATTTTTCTGCGATGGACGTGCTGCAAGAAGAGGAGCTGGTGACTTCATTTCATAACACTATAGCTGCTATATGAGAAGTCATGTCATTTAATGCACCAGTCTGTGTATACAACAAATGAATGGAGGGAGTAAAACACTACAGAAACACAGTATGACATTAATACAAGCTACCAACTAGCAACAATAACAGCAACAACAACAATAGAAAACTGCAACTAACTTCTGCAACATTTTATGGCATAAGCAGTAGGATAAAAGAGGAAGAAGAAGTCTATGTCTACCATGACATTTTGCTTAGAATTTATAAGTGAAAACTTCATTTGTAATGTGCAAAGTTCCTGAGCAGAATCGATTTTATATTTTCTCATGAACATAAGTTGAAGCTATTTTAAACAAATCAAAAACATTCTGTTTAGTTCAGTCATGATATAATATCATTTAAAGAATGCTTTATTCCTTTTTCTCTGTACATTCAGTCAGTTAAGGGCTTGAGCATTTTTCAGTTCAGTTTTTTTATGTACTCTAAAAGAAATTGATAACATAACAAATAAAACATTGACTGCAGGAGAGTTCAGCATATAAGAAACAGAGAAGACATTTTGAACCTGCACAGTTTGCATCACAGGGAACTATGTGGAGATGTTAGTGCCTTGAGCATATAGCTGCTGCCTTTAAATATCTTCAGACTGACAACATCTAAAGGTGTACAAAGAGGACTGTTTTCTGGAAAATGATATTTTGTCATAGGCTGTTCATTCATCCACGCAGACTGCTGGTTTGTGACATGCCCAGCTGAGTAAAGATAACATTGCTGTCCATTGAGAGTGTGTAGTGATGAGAAAGAATATAATGGAAAGAGTGATTTTTTTTTTTTTTTTAACAAACATTGTGTAGTTATACTAATATCCTGTCAAGGAGCCAAAGGCAAAAAAATCTGTATTTCGGTGACAAGTCAGGCCATTTCACAGAAATGAAAAAACTGTTCAAACTGCCATTGCCACATATAAAGTTAAAAAAAAAAAAGTAAATTACCCTTTTCCATGCCTTCGGGTGTATTGTGCAAATAGGGCTAGACCTGTATTTTATAGACCATTTGGTACTCACTGGGTGATTTGATTAGCAACACTCTAGCCACCTTTTCTTATCAGGACTTTACCCTGTACCCATTTAAGGCTGGGTTGACCTGGAAGCCAAGGTCATTTTGTGAAAAATGGCAGGCTCCGTCAGGACCTGAACTGCCACTCGTATAGCATGTTAATTTACACTGAATCACATTTATGTTTGTAATTATTTGAAAGTGTTATTATTATCTGTTTTACTAAATTTTTTTAAATTCTAAACTTAGCTTACAGTTAACAAGAAGGTTTTTTTTAGTTGAGATCTTATTTGAGTTGTAAACATTGTATTTTTTTTTTTATATACTTTACAATGTTCATACAGTTTTTGTGTACATTTACTTTAAAAAGTTATACCCACTGTTGTTAACTTTATTAACAATGTGAATGCATTTATTATTTCCAATGGAAGACCTTTTGTCTACAACTTAAAAAACAAAGTCACATTTATTGACTCACTCCATAAATTAACATTTATTTATGAATAATTGAACCATGTTTGTACATTTGGCTTTGTATTTTTGAATAATTTATTAATTATGTGTTTTAGATCTGAACGGAATCCATTCATCGTCGCTACCCAGTGCAATACACCAGTAGTATTATTATTTTACACTTGCAACTCATATTGCTTAATTTGTTAATCTCATGGTTTTAATTGCCGAGAATTGTCTCATATTGAAATCAA